AAAATAGGGCTGTTATGCCTTCAATCATTCCTCTACATGCTGTGCAAAGCATGAACAAACATAGAGACAAGGACATACACAAGTATTACATCAAACATCCTGTTTAAAACTTTGTCCGTGACACTATGGGGAGCCCTTCGAAGTCCATACAGATACTTCAGACTTCGCTATTGGGGGAGTACTTATGCAGGAGGGTCATTCGGTGACCTACGAGAGCCGTAAACTCAACGAGACCGAGCGGCGGTATCCAGTGCACGAGAAGGAGATGATAGCGGTGATCCACTGTCTACGAGTTTGGCGACACTACCTTCTTGGATCGCGATTTGTACTAAGGACATACAATATCGCTTTGAGCTATTTCCAAACTCAGAAGAAACTCTCTCCAAAGCAAGCACGATGGCAGGACTTCCTAGCTGAGTTTGATATGGCAATGGAGTACAAGCCCGGAAAGGCGAATGTCGTGGCCGATGCATTGAGTCGAAAAGTGGAGCGTGTGAATGCCGTACAATTGGAGGGCAGAGGCCAAGCAAGTCAGTTGCACTCCAACTTCCTTTCCAAGATCAGGGATGGACTGTACAGTGATCCCCAAGCAGAAGCCATAATACAACTCATTAAAAAAGACGAGGCACGACGGTTCTAGGTCCAGGATGGACTCGTTTACACAAAAGGGAATAGGGTTTATGTTCCTCGAGTGGACAATCTGAGACGTGAACTCTTAAGAGAGTGTTACAATTCCCTTTGGGCTGGACACCCAGGCATTCATAGAACCTTGGCTCTCGTGGAGAGAGCCTTCTATTGGCCGAAGATGGGGGACTGATGTGGAGGAATATGTTCGAACGTGCCTCACTTGCCAACAAGACAAGGTGGAGCAACGGAAGCCGGTGGGACTTTTGGAGCCGTTGCCAATACCAGAAAGGCCGTGGGAGAGCATTTCCTTGGACTTCATATCAAGCTTGCTTGCAGTAGGAAGACTCGGATCGTTACTCGTGGTGGTCGATCGGTTTTCAAAGTATGCAACTTTCATTGCTGCTCCCCTACACTGTTCAGCAGAGGAGGTGGCCAAGTTAATGATGAAGGATATAGTGAAGTATTGGGGAGTCCCACACAATATCATCAGTGATCGAGACGCTCGGTTCCTGGGACGATTCTGGACCGAGCTATTCAAATTGTTGGGGTCCAAGTAATACTTCTCCATAAGCCTCCACCCCCAAACGGATGGCCAAACCGAAAGGATAAACTCGCACCTAGAGCAATATCTTCGGCATTACGTGAGTGGCAACCAATGAGATTGGTGAAGTTGTTGGACATTGCCCAATTCTCCTACAACTTGCAGCGGAGCTTTGCGTCCAATAAGAGCCCCTTCGAGATCATTACAGGACAACAAATGTCAACTCCTCACACCATGACAATCGGGTATACTGGGAGTAGTCCGTCAACCTACCACTTCGTAAAGGAGTGGCACTGAAATGCAGATATTGTGCGGGCTTACTTGAAGAAGGCGGCAAAATGGATGAAGAAGTGGGCAGACTTGGGAAGGCGACCGCAAGAGTTCAAGGTCGGTGATTTGGTGTTAGTAAAGCTCCAACCAGCACCACTCCAATTCTTTAGGAACAAAGCACACAAAGGATTGGTGCACAAGTATGAAGGGCCCTTCCCAATTATCAGCAGGGTGGGCAATGTCTCCTACAAGTTGCAGCTGCCGGCGTGGTTCAAAATTCACAATGTTTTTCACGCCAGCAATCTAAAAGCCTACCACTCGGATCCGCAAGATGCTTCCCGAAGTGTTCCAACTCGGCTACCCCCCACCAGAGTCTCCTACGAAAAGCGAGTTGAAACCATTTTAGCGGATCACAAGATAAAGCTACCCAATGGAGCTGAGTAGACCGAGTACTTGGTGAAGTGGCGAAAGCTTTCCCGAACTGAAGCCAGTTGGGAGCTCGAAGATGTCCTGCGACATGAAGAAACAATTATCAACAACTACCAACTAGCGTCGACGAGGGCGTCAACAGTTTAAGTGGGGGAGAATGTCACGAATGGTCATTACATACCCACAACAACTCCGTTCAACGAACCGTTCGTCGCTCTCACCTACATGTACAGCTGCTTAGCAGCATGTTTTGGCTTGGTTTTAAGTCCTTTTGCTTGTAAAAATGTAAGTTCGAACAAGTTGCAGCGTTATAGTGCGACCGCTCACCGAACCGAGCAAAACAGCCCCAAAACAGCTTCATTTTCGAGTGCCACGGGCTGTTTTCTGCAGCCCGCTACTACACGCGAAACGTCAGCCATCTCAGCACCCTGGAACCACTCGAGTGGTACCATGGGGGATGGGGCTTCGGTATAGTGTCAGGCGTTGAACAACCTTTCGCAAGTTCGCACGTTACCTTGACGGGAACTTGTTGTCGCGCCCAGCACCCGGTGAGCAACTGTTTGTGGACTTGCAGCTGTTCGTTCAACCCTCTAAAGTTCTTGTTTTCCTCCTCTCCCTCTTTTCTCTTGTGCACGCAAGGTGCTCGCTGAATTGCTCATAAAGCTTCCCCTTTTTGCGAGACGTCGGGACTTGTCCGTTGCTCGTTCTTCGAACTAATCAACTTTCTCTTTTACAGGTCTTTCAGAACCTGCAAGAGGTTGCAAGTGGGCTGATCTTTGCGGACACAAATCGCAAGGGCGAAACGCGACTTAGGCAACGCAAGCTAAGTTCGCGTCTTTGCCGCAAGGGTGCCTCATGACTTAGGCAATTCCAACTAAGTCCGTGACAGTATGGACCAAGAGGAAGTATTTTACGCATATCATCCAAGATTCAGATCATGGAGCTCGACGAGATACTGATCAAGTTTATACACGAAAGGATAAGAGGAAGGCAATGAATGATTTTGAGCAGATACGATAGAGCTTACATAACGTAGACACAGAGTAGAGCTCATTGTATTCACAACCATCATATTATAGAGAATCTTATGGCCAACAGCAGTATGATGATAGTTGGTCATTCTCTTTCAAGCAAGTACGATAATCGATCTTATGATACAGAGTAACAGATCACTGGTGAAAGTAAAAGTTTTGATATTCTCTATCCTTCGCACCAATACATACCATAATTGTATTTGCCTCAGGAGCCGCCTCAAACATATATGGTTCACTATGATTAAACTACGACCATCACTACATTGATGCAACAATAACATACAGTGTATCGGTATAATACACCATGGAATCAATTTCAGGATTGGATCCGACAAACATATCAAATTGATATACAGATACGTAGGATCAAGGACCCCAATCCCTCACCCATGGAGTCCCGTCATTTTTTTGTGGTAGAACCAAATATATCTATCAATTGATAACTTGATTCATTTGAATCTTAAAGTTTAAATTATTTAACAAATAATCTAACAATTCAAATCATTTCTTTACAGATAGTTTAATATCAACGGAAGGACGGTCCGAGACTTACCACAAAGCTACTCCTCGAAGCCCGAAAAAGATATATGCAATTATTCTTTCCTTATTAAGATTATTTTTGCTAAATTTATACTAAATTTATATTTATTTTTAACTTAAAAACCTTAATCTAACATTTTTTCTAGTAATTTTTAGAGCCATTTTTGGCTAGTTTTCCGTGTAGTAGGCATGCCCGACCGTATCGACACACAGTATGTTGGTACAAAGCAATTTATACCATACTATCGATCAATCGATATATCGGTTTAGACTAGTACGACGAACCTTGGCACAATGCATGGGAGCACAAGAGGTTGTTCCCAAGACAAACTCTCAGTATTCAAGTAGCGAAAGGAGCAACCTTATCATGACACACGGACTCATCATCAAAAAACAATATAAGAAGCTGTTTGGAACAAATACCTGTCAGAGAAATCCACCTCAATTTCCTCAGATGCACCCTTAGTGGCTTCCGTTAGCACATTTGCAATCTCTATTTTTCTTGTGCTCGCCATAAGACAATCATACTCGGTAGGAACGATGAGTGCAAAAAAATTATCATCGAATTTGCTCAAGCATATCTTTTCAACAGCTGCAAGTGCTATTCGCCTTTTTAAGACATCAGCATCAGGATCAACAAGATAGATAGCAAAATCTGTAATTAGCAAAATATGCTTCTTCATCTTCCCAGATCCAGTGAACTTAACCACCTTGTCAGCAAAAAGAACTGTAATGTCACCTGCAGAGATAATGAACAGTTTTAATCATTTCATGAAACTCTGTCAATTTCAGCAGACTATTCTAGCCTTTCTCAACATAGGTCTCAAATGTTCATCCTGAAAAAAATGGGTTCAAGATATTAAAAGAAAAAAAACATGTTAGAATTTCATGCTGTTGTTAGCATTGAGAAAGGATCTGTTGACTAATCTCCAAGAAATTCAGGCACATATAAATGAACAGGAAATAAAATAAACCTGAATCAATGCATAGAACTAACTGTCTTTGCATCTAGTTCTACTTAGAACCCAAATCTAGTTCTACCTGAATCAATGCAAGGATCTGTATGTATGTTCAGGCACATACAAATGAACAGGAAAAAAAATAAACCTGAATCAATGCATAGAACTAACTGTCTTTGCATCTAGTTCTACTTAGAACCCAAATCTAGTTCTACCTGAATCAATGCAAGGATATGTATGTATGTATTCTACCTGAATCAATGCAAGGATATGTATGTATGTATGTATGTATGTATGTATGTATAGAGAGAGAGAGAGAGCAACTTCTTTTGCAGATCCATCAAGCACCTAGTTCCAGTTGAATTTTCTCAAAGCAGAAATCCCTGCCAAATCTAGTAAAAGTTATGCTGGGCATATATTGTAACAGTGGAGTATCAAACCCAAAGAATATTCAACGGTGTATTAGTATCAGAAACAGGAGCTTTAGCATACTAGAGTTATAGCAGCAAAAAAGAGAAAAGATACATGAATAATTAAATGATTGCCAGCTAAAATTAATAATTCTAAATCTTAAAGTTGATGATGATTATATAATCTACCAGAATCCATCGGACTTTAGGGATTTTATTTTTTTCATGATACAAAAAATGCAATAACCTTCATGATATTTTCCTGAATTAGAAGTTGAATTATCGAACATAATTTTAACAAATCCTAAATGGCAAGACTTCTTTTACAATCAATTTACTAGGCCAAATACATATACTCGAAATACAAGGAGGCCAAAGCCAAATCAAGAACCCTAGTGGTTTCAATATTTTGACATGTTCATGCAGCGAATTACCCTACATCTATGCCAAATCTCTTCAGAAAGACCCAAAATTCGTCACCAATGTAGACCATTCAATCGATTGAGCAACAGAAGAAAACGAACCTCCACCAGGAAATAAACAAAGCCAAAAAATTGGCGAAAGATGGGATTCATATTGCAACAAAATAAGTAACAGATGGAAAAATTCAACCGGACAGTAAAGTTAACCTTGCTTGGTCAAGATCCTGTGGAGGAAGGGATCGGATGGGACGCCGACGTAGTCCCCCTTGCACTCGCCGAAGAGCGCGGCCCTCCTCCGGACCTTCAATCCCGTGAATTGTCCCATCTCTTCAGCGACTTCCTTTGCCTCCGCCTCTTCATTTTGTGCCTCCAACGGCTTCTCTCCGTCGTATCCTCCATCTCCGTTCTCCTCCTCCACCTCCACTTGGAGTTTCGTCAAGTTCTTGAAGCGATCCATGGCGCTTATGGGAGCGCTGAAGACGAAGATTGAGATGAGGGGAAAAGCCAATTTATAGTACAAATCCGGTCCAAAAATTCGATCAGAAAACCGGGCGATTCGAGTTAAAAGAACCGGACCGGTGTCGACCACTTTATTTTGCCCTTAGGGCTTCTTTCTCTTCGATTGTTGAAGGATAGTAATTCCAGCTTCCACGGCGGATATCGAATCTAATTGGTAGCAAGAGCGCATTCATAGTTATAATCTGTATCATGTCATTGTCAAGATTTGGTTTCTGGGGAGGAATTTGACGTTTGAATGATCTGACTGCAGGGTTGCAACAAAGAGGAGAAGGATATACTTGTTTTGGGGGGAGCGCGCGCTCAGATGCAGAGACTAGGGAACTTTAAGCTGCCTCAGTTCTTCAATTTCCCACCTTTCTTCACGTAATCCACTAAATGACTGCTTGCAATTAGATTCCCTTTTCGACTTATTGTTTTTGGTAGCAGGAGAACAATTAGCATCGCTAAATGGATGGGTTGTTCTCTGTTCTTCTTATGTAATCAATCATGTGGTTTCTTTTGATTTATATAAGTTGGAGAGTAATATCATGAGAATAGTAGAATTTCCATTTCTATGGCTTGGTTGCTGCCTAGAAAAAGTGTTATCATTTAAGAAAATTTCATTTCGCCTGGGGAGAATCATTTGCACACATGTTTAGAGTAATGACTTCACTTTTAATAGTCTGAACTTCTTAGTTGGATCATTTGGTGTCCTGAAGAGGTGTAATCTCCCTCTAATTGCAAGCTAATACTTGTTGACTGAAATGCTTTGTTCCATCGGATCTCTATCTATGCTTGAACATGTTGATGTCGTTCAAAGGGATTCAGGTTCTCAATAGCAACTTTCAATTTAAGCATACTGTTTTTTTATATTTGTTGGTCTAAAATTCATCATGGGACTTGTCGTAATTGGGAGCAACCCTTCCTTCCCAAATAAATCATATTACTGACTTACCACTTAATTGCTCTCCTCCTCAATTGTACTTGTTCCTAGCATTACATACCATGACAAGTCTTTCTGAAATAACTCCAGTTGGTAGGAAAAAGAATACCTGTTGCATTCTTTTTTTTTTTTGCTTTGGATATTGTGGAGCAAGGAGTTTCTCATGGCACAAATTCACTGCCTGCTTATACCTGAAGCATCTTGTGTATCTCAGTGTTCGCCTTGTCATGAACTAGCACTCCTGGATCCTAGCTGTAATGTTTTCTTCGAAAGATACCTTCCACGAACCATTCGCTGGATGAGTTGTACATAAAATTACTATGCTTGTGTTGATTTCCTGTCTGACTGTCTGGATCATGTGATATATCATTTTTGTAGTTCTTCAATTGCAATCTGTCTTTCTAATTTGCCAGATATTACTTCATTATTTCATGTTTGTGCTTTAGTATGGCTCTTTTACTTTTGAGTTTTGATGCATTGTAAAAAATTGCAATATGATATTGTGGCTTTGTCTCCGCTTTCTCAGCTATATAAAAATAATTCTATCTTGATGCCTAATGATCTTGTCAAAAGTTGCTTGCGAATGCCCAGGAACAAATCATATAGTTTATATTAGGTTATGAATTACAAAGTTTTTTTGCACTCACACTTTTGTATGCAAAAATGGAGCTTTACGGTGTGCATAAATGGAGCTTTACTCTTCTTTATGCAGAACGAGGTCAAAACATCAATCTCACTCTCTTTTGCTTTTAGTTTGCAGCCAGTGAAGGAAACACGTGAGAAGCAAGTGCAAGTATGGAAGCAGCTGCTACTTGATTACTGCAGAAGTCAAAAGATTTTTGTGATAGGATTGGAAGAAGATTTCCCTCTGTTTTCCAATCCAGTCATTGAAAGTTAGTCGACCTTTTATATGATTACACGGTCATTATCAAGTGATGGAATTAAGATTGAGGTCTATATTTGCATAGTGGGATATATAATTTTGTTTTTCTCTTGGAGCATTCAAATTGCTCATCTAATTCATTTTAATGTTTTTTCCTTCACCATTGCAAATTGAAATTTAGCTGTTGCAAAGATGCTTGTTATTTGAGTTTCTCATGTCTACTCATTGCTAGATTTACTTTTAACGAAAAACTTTGCGATGGGCTTTTAGGATCTTTAAGCCATGAGGCAAGGGAGGTATTTCTTTCTGCTCTGATAAGTGAAGGTTCGTCTCCAGATATTTTTCGTTCACTTTGTTAAGCAGTGTGAATAAAATCAAACATATCATACAGCAAACAACTTCCATATACGGTACACTTCTGTTTGATAACCCTGTTCCTCCCAGGTCATGCCGAATGGATGGATAAAGATCATAGGAAATGTCTGATGCTTTGGTTAAGACTCCAGGAGTGGGCTGATTATATTTTAAACTTTGTGAGTACAAGAGGAAGACATGAGTAGCAAAGAGGGAAGAGTATTCGTGTTTAATTATTGTTGTTTTCTCCTGCATTGTTCAGGTGAAAGACAATGGATTGCAGGATGGTGTCATGACCATTGAAGAAATGCGATCAGGAACTGAAACACACGGTACTGGTAATGTCAACATAACTTCCTCAATGTGCTAATCAACCCTCAGGTTCGCGGGCAATATTTTCTAGTTCATTAAACAAAAGAGTGAAACATTTCATGTCGCTTTGTCCACACGAAAGTGTCTTTATGATTACTATGGTGCTTACTGTTAATTTGACATATGTTGATGATAATTAGCTCATTTCACTGTTTCTCCTGATCACTTGGCATTTCTGACCACCTAATTGACATCCTATTCAACCATATTACTTTGTCATTCTAAGTTCTAACATCACAACTTTTGCTGATAAGCTGACACTTTGCATGCCACTTTTTCTATCATTCAAGAGCTTGCTGGGATAGATCGGGGTTTGCTTCTGCGTGTTCTGAGATTACTGGAGCAGAAAGGGAAAGCTACAATATTCAAAGGGACTTCAGCAGATGATGATGGAGTAAAATTTTCTGTCTAATTGGGACACTGTTTTCCAAGCCACCTGTTGATTGTTTCCATACGGTGCTGGAACTCTGATTCTTATTGTGATCATCCTTGCTTTCTTTATGGTATACGTTTTACCTTTTCAGGCTTAAACGAACATTTATTTGCTGCAGATACATCTCTGTTTATTTGAATGGGATCAAGATGTAAATCAAGCTTTTCAGATGTATGTATTACTTGGAAAATTTAATTTGTACCAAGTGATTCTGGGCATGAAACTGTGATGATAGTAAGGTTCGCAATACCGTATCGTACCGGTATTTCGACCTTGGCTCGGTATCGGTACGGTACGGTATACCGAGCGGTACATCTGGGTGTACCGAGTACTGTAGCACTGATACAGTGTTACAGTGTACTGCTACAGTACTCTCGGACCGGTAACAGTAAACTTGAGCTGTTCTTCAGCACGCTATATCGTTTGTTGATTTATAAAAAAATTGAATGATTAGATATAAAAAAATTGAGCTGTTCTTCAGCACACTATATCGTTCTTATTGAATGATTAGATATAAAAAAATTGCTTAAAAATAGTTCATGATATTTATTTTTTTTGCATTTAGAATGAATATATTATATACATGTTGGAAGCAGCATTCTTTCAGGAAAAAAAGAAAAATGATTTTTACGATTTTATTTCTTGAATCACAAAATTGATTTTGTGATTTGTGTTTTTGGCACCTAACGCAAATAAGCGGTGAAAACAGAGGTCGAAGTCATTGGACGGAGTTCCTTTTTTCCTTGTTGACGTGGCAACTGATGATTGGATGTGCTGGTCTCCGTCTGAGCCGACGCCCCTGCCGAGCCACTCGATCGGCTGAGCCCACATTCTAGAAGCCGGCTGACTTGGCCCGTTCTCCGCCTCCTTCCTTGACATATATATATATATATATATATATAATTATTCCTACAAAGTTGGAAAACTAACAAGTAGTTGATCATTATACAAACTGATACCCATTTCAAAAGGATATATAAAGGGTCAAACAACACTTTATGTTTTATTTCTAAAAAAAATATGATAATAATGATTAATATTAGTTTTCTTGAGTTTAAACAAGAGTGACATATATGAAAGTTTTAATATTTAAGATCTTAAAATTTATTTACCTGAATTTAATATATATATATTTAAAAACAAAATACTTAGAATATAATTAAAATATTAATACAAGCAAAAGTTTCTATTAATATTATTGTAGGATAATAATTTTAGTTTTTAGTTTTAAAGGATTATTATACTAAACTTAATTTAAAACGATATTTATAGAGTTTTGGGTCTTCTCTTTTTCAGTTCTTTGATCCTTTTTTTGGTCTCCCATTTCGTCTTTTCTAGGGTTGTAAGTGGATCTCACCGAGAGAGAGAGAGAGAGAGAGAGAGGTGTGAAGTTGGAAATGGTGGGTTGCTCGAGGCATGGCTTGCCTAAGTGGATCGCGGCCGCCACCAGAGTAGACCTCGACGGGGCCTCCTCCTCCCCTGGTTCTCCCAAGTCCGATGCCTCTTCCTCCTCGTTGCGGTCGTCGCCGTCGTCGTCTTCTTCATCCCCTCAGATCATATCCTCTTCTCCCGACCCCTCCACGGGCTTCGGGGAGAGGGCGCTGTCCGCGGCGGGGGCCGCCGTGGTCTCCGCCGTCCTCGTGAATCCCCTCGACGTCGCAAAGGTGACTCTTGGCTTTTTTTTTTTTTTTTGCCATGTTCTTTGTTATCCTGTGTCAACTAGCATTTGACGTCGTTTCTTTTTCCTCACTGCAATTGCATCTCACATCTTTTATTTCTGGATCATTTGAAATCGAGTTTCTAGTGCAAAAAAAAAAAAGGTTCTTTCCTTCTGGATTTTTCTGGATCCTGAAACTGTCGTACCTCATAATCGCAGACAAGGTTGCAGGCGCAGGCAGCTGGAGTTGCATACTATCCTTTGCAGCATCCATATGGAAGACAAATGGCGTCCCTTGGCCCAAGCACGGTACGGTATTACCTATTTTCCAAGGCTACTGTTAACAGGAGATGATCGTTCAGTGGTAGGCACTTTCATTCTTGAATATGTCTATCTAGGATAGACTGATATTTGGAAGGTGACTAGTAGCATTGCCTTCAACTCGATCAATTAATTTTGCTGCTTGCATACGACTAGAGCTGCTCATTCTCATTCTTAATCAAAGAGAAGTTTAACAACTTCAGAATGCACTGAAATTCGAGTCTTGTGGGAAGATGCCGGACACCTTATCTTGGTCATAAGTGAAGAGTGTTGATATTGGAAGAACATCATTACTTACTGGCTTGAACTTCATAGCAGACCTTTCACTTCTTAGTGGTTCTTTTATTGTAGGGTTGATGACTGTAGTTGGCAACTGCTAGAGATTTCTCTTAGTTTAGGATCTTGTTTGAGACAATTTGGTTGCCTGATGTATTATACATGTTATGTTTTTAGTCAATATTTAGCAAACTTTTAATAAGAATTGGCTATCACATATCATGGCTTAAGTCTGTTCATATTAAATGTATTGAAAGTTAGAACTAGCATCAGATACTTCTTCTAGGATTTGAATACTAATTTGATGTTATATTGATGATTTGATGTGGTTCATTTGCTGTTTTCTTGTGGACATCTTTGTTCCATGAATTGACAACATGAATGCTGCCGAGGAGCAGTGATTGAAAGAGGCGCTCGGGTGCTCGCCTAGGCGCTCGGGCTAGGCGAGGCGAGGCCCGAGCGCCTCGCTAATGTCCCAGGCGGCGCGCTTCAAACAGGCGCCGCCTGGGCGCTCGCCCAAGCCCAGGCGCTGGGCGCTTCGGGCGAGCGCCTAGGTAAACCAAGTGATCGAACCAAGATTTTAGGTCTGGTTCGGTCCTGGTTCGGTTGTTAGTTGGTTCAATCGAACCAACTAAACC